CATGAATCAGTCATTGTTAGATCAACATTAGAAACTTGAAAGCTACTACTGGATGGGTTATGCAAAATAAATCCTTAAATTGAACAAAATTAAACATTAGCACCGTTGAATGCCAGTCATCTCAGAGATCCAAAGTCCTGGGTTCGGTTCCCACGGACTGGAGTCGTGGATGTATACTGCTGATGAGTCCTATACTAAGATGGAATGGCTGTTTAATGATGACAGGTTTATAATGGCGGTCGAACAAAACGACTGATTCACAATTCTAATACAAAACAACATTCTTTACAAATCTGTAATGAAAAATTTTAAAATTTTATTCATAAATGAGCTGACCTTACATTTCAGAATAAGAATTTTATTGTCTGATCAGAGTTATTTATTTACTAAGTTATAGAATTTAAGCTAACTAATTGTAAAAATTTAAAGTATCTAGAGAAAGTAAATGGTCGGTATGTTTTGGAAAAAATATCTACTGAATAGATAAATTTGTTGATTGTTCCTAACTTAAACCGGAATGATTTAACAGGAATTAATGATGGTTTCAAATGTGTAAAAACACAAACCTCAAAAGCTTTGCTTGAATATATCGTAACAGTGCTCACCAGTGATGACTAGCTTCGTGAGGAAATTCTCGGAGTTCTAGTTGAGAAGACGTGACCAATGTAGTCCAACCATGTTGGGTGTAGGCAATAACTACCAAGGACAAACGGGTGAGGTCGCGCAAAATCCCTAGATCAATCAGAGTTAGATATTAACACCGTTGGATGCCGGCCCAGTGGTCCGATGGTTAGGCGTTCGCACACAATACTGAAGGTCCAGGGTTTGAATCCTACGAGGTGCAGGAGTCGTGGATGCGCACTGCTACGGATGAGTCCCATACCAGGACGAAACGGCTGTCTTTCAGTGCTTCCACGTTTCTATTAGCGATCTAACAATGATTGATTCATGATTTTAAATGTGTAAAAACACGAACCTCCAAAGCTCTGCCTAAAACATCTTTGATTAATAAGACACTTCGTTTTAACTACTGTAGCATCAGATTTTTATGAGTTATTTATTTTTTTAACAAACAGTAATGTTATCTATCTACTAGGATTCTGCACTGTTTGAAATTAATGTTATTCGGGTTGTATTTATCAGCGATTATTCTCCTTTCAATTAAGACCAGAGCTGACATACAGACAGACAGATATAACGCAGAACTTCGTACATAAGTACATCAGTTCAGGTTGCCATACGACATAAGCACAGAGACGCAACTGTCAGTTCAAATCGAAGAGTGATAGAGATAGTAGACGTATCAGTAGTAATGAAGAAGATTAGGGAGCGACGATATAATTCGAAAAGTGTAATTCAGTTAGATAAATTTAGAAGGAGAAAGATAGAGATGATGAGGAATTCAGAAGGTTAGAATTAAAAAACACACAAAGAGTGGATGCACCTGAGCCATTGCAAACGATTTTGATCCATGTCATTCAAGGTCTCTATCCATTGATTAAGACCAGAGCTGGTAAGTTCATAGTAAATATCAGTGAGAAAATTCAAATAACTAATGCAAATGAAGTGAAACTCTCTCTCTGTCTCAGAAGTCAATGACTGTCTGATGTCAATTATTAGATATGGATTACATGATGAGGTTTGAAGTGTACGATGCTGGGTTCGAGTCTCACAGTGAACATCGACTCTGAGATACAGGTACATCCAGCAACAGTCAAGTTTCAAATAGGACGAAATTGTGATGCCGGTCACTAGGTATGCTTGAAACTATCACGAGTTCACCTTAGTCGATAAACGAGAGCGAGGATCGAGGATCCGGCGACATGACATGCTACTCAAATCCAATTATCCCTATCCCCATATTGATTAAAAACAAGAAGACTTGATATGAAGTAGAACCCGTATTCTACAAGCATCCAGAAAGTACGAGGTTGAAGTCCAGAAGAGAGTCAGGATCTCGCACTAGGGATCCGGGTCCTAAAACGTTACAGATAATGCGTATTTATACATTTTGGTCGAATAGGAAACAGCATCGAAGTCTGTGACATTGACAGTTAAGTCGACCAATAGGAAGCAACAATTGAAGTGACATTAACAGTCAGGACAACCAATAAGAAACAACATTGAAGTACGTGACATTGACATCTAGGATGACCACAAAATTGACCAGTAGGAATTGACCAATAATTAATTCTCTTAGGATATTGGATGAATATCCTAACACATAATGTATGTAGGAAATTTTAGTGCGTACTATTTTTTTTTATCACAACTATATAAGTTATCTTTATATATATATATATTTTTATTAATTAATCTAGCAACAACAAAATTTCCTGTGTAAATTTTTTTGGCAATATTGTATAAAATCTTCCAAGTAAAAAATTTTGGTACGAAATCAAATTCTAAACCACATCTATCATCAATTTTCATTTGAACTGAACATATAGTTTGGCTATTCTGTTTTATAGATTTTAAATCATTGTATTGTATTAATTTAGTAAAAACAAGAAAAAATTTACATTTTACGTAAGTGAGATAACATTGAAAAGTTACTACTAATATACCCATCATACATTATGAGAATTATGAGTATTATCATGCCACACATGTGTTCATAATTCAATAGACATAAACTATTTTGTTCATCTTGAAACGATCAGCTTAAAACATTTCTACAACTAATTAATTGTAACTGTTGTGATAAAGCTGATAAGTAGTGGTCAGGCGTTAGAGTGTTGCCTTGAAGTTACAGCTGAACTGAGAAGTATCGGAGTGATTTGAATGTTTCGGAGGAATAGAAAACATACATGAAAGAAGCCAGGCCCCTGAATGGATGTTTTATGATACGGCGTACACTTTTTGGCTAGTAGATTTTGTCTTCTGTGTAACGATCTCAATGTGACAACTCCACAAATACTAAGTAATGAAAACCAGGAAATTGAGGTAGTGAGTACCAGTTGCAGAATTTATAGAAAGGTTGCATGACATCATCATGCTAACCATCTTGCTTCTCCTGGGCTTTTAGATTGTGTCTCTGGATGCTTATAAATGTCACATGGTTCAGAGGGCGTAAACATGTTTATCAAACTATTGTTGTCCACGTTATTAAGTTCTTCTGAATTTATTCTAATTGAATATACACTGGAAAACTGAACTGTTTCTATTTAATTTCTGCCATTTCAAAATCCTCTGTGCTGACTCAATAAAACTGGTATTACAGCTAGCTGAAATGCAGTTGACAATTCGTGCTACTCCGGTAATAATTGATCGAGTATGTATCTGTGGAAAGATGGATCCAAGACTTCTATCGTTGTGGAATACATTTGGAAATTACTGTGCATATTGGCTTAAATGAATATTATTTACCTGTCAACGTCCTTGATATGGAGAGATTCCGTCCTTCCTTTCCAAATGCTTTCATATGGCCACGCGTGTGATTTCATTACCTAGGACATCCTTACTCACTGTCTTCTCGTCACACAGGTATTGTTTACAAAACTGGTGGGAAAACCGAATGGAGGCTTAAACCTGGTTGGTGCGCACAAATGATTCACCTAAGAAAGTTAAAAAAAAAACCTAAATTCCAAACCAATAATCCACATCGGCTCTAGGATTTTCAGGAAAAAAATGGTGTTTGAACATACTGTCCATCACTGGACTGCATCATCTAACAAAACACCACTCATCATGTGGATTCGACTTGCAGGTCAAATGCTCAGCTTTAGGAAGTCATGTTATAGTGTGGTGCGAGCTACTTATAAGTAGTATATGACGCGAGTGTCAACGTAATGTCTGGCAGCAGAAGATGGGGGAAGATCAAGAAAGGAATTTGTATGAAAGGCATGAATAGTGACAATGGATTGATGTTTTGCAACAGGAACAGTCCAGTTCGATATGATGAACTGATATTTTGCAAATGAACGATTTACGATATGGTTTTCCGATTTTACTGAGTAACTCTGTAATTTTCGTTAAATACAACAATTTGGTTGCCCTCACCTGTGTTCTCTACAATAGGATTTACATCCAATCACTTTATAAATAAAAAAGGATACTTATCGACATGCACTATTGATAAGAATTTTGAAGAATAACTATTGAATATATTTATTATGCGTTCAATTTAATACAAATGAACAACTACGATTAATTCTTTATTGATTTAAAGAATAATTATCAATTCCATTCCAAAATTTCGTAATATTATGAGAAGCTGATGAAACCACAACTTTTTATTGAGACTATGGACTAATGAATGTTTGACCACCATTGGAAACCTGGAAGCACTGAATGGTCATTTCATCTTAATAAAAGACATCGACGACCACTTCTCTCAGAAATTAAACTCAGGACCTTCAGTCTCGCGCGTAAACACTTAATCTGTAGACTACTAAGCCAGTACTGAACGGTATTAATGTCTTACTTAGATCAATCCCCAATCAGTCTATAATTTCAGTGATAATCAACAATCTTCATAATTTGAAATCATCAATCAGTCATTGTTAGACCATCACCATTAGAAACCTGGATGCACTGAAAGACGGCCGTTTCGTCCTGGTATGAGACTCATCCGTGTCAGTGCGCATCCACGACTCCTGCACCTCGCAGGATCCGAACCCTGGACCTTCAGTATTTTACGCGAACGCCCAACCATCGGACCACTGAGCCGGTATCCAACGGTGTTAATGTCTAACTCTGATTGATCTAGGGATTTTGCGCGACCTCACCCATTTGTCTTTGGTAGTTACTACTGCCTATACCCGACAGGGTTGATGAACTCCACTGGTGGTCACGTCTTCTCAACTAGAACTCTGAGAATTTCCTCACGAAGCTAGTCATCACTAGTGAGCACTGTTTACGATATTTTGTGTAAAAACGCAAACCTCCAAAACTCTGCGCTAAAACATATATTTCAAATTATTTTATCCTATTAAAAAGAAATTTTCTCTTTTGTTTTATTTATTTTATTTTTAAAGAAATGGGAACCAACATTTTCAATGCCAAATAAATGTAATGATTTTTATCAACGTCTTATTGAACAAAAAGTATGCCTTTCCGAATTTCATTCACAAAATCTACATTCATTCAATGTTCAAGTGAAAGTAATTCATGATAACAATCATCAGCATCATAATAGCACAACATTAAATAGTTTGGATTTTAAAAAAGAAGTCAAACTACGTTATACACTAGATAATTGGCGAACATTCACTGAATGTCCAACATTAACTTGTTTAAATCAATTGACACCATTGACATTGCCATGCCAAAATGATCAATGTATAGAAACTTATGAATCGGAAGTGATTCTCACCTTAACTCCATATGAATCAAAATATAATCAATTAGAATTTGCTGTAGTTTATAGAGGTGATCATTTTGAGTATTGGGATAATAATCATTCACAAAATTATAAATGTTTTGCAAGTTCTTTCTAATAAATAATTAAAATAATTAATTAGTTCGCATTGATTATTGTATAATTATTATACGGTTTCTTGTCTTTCGGTGTATTAAATTGTTTTTGTTTTCCAATTTGAAAAATTGATCATTGAACCAAAAATGTATTTTAGTTTGTTTCTTTTTAACAAAAAATCCCTTTTTTTTATACTTATATTCATTATTCGAAAATGAAAAAAAACTGCACAGTTAGTACATCATATTTTATCTGTTTTTTTTTAAAAAGAATAATAATAATAATTAGTAATTTGTTTGAATGGAAATCAGAGTGTCCTTGAAATATTGGATATTGAACAGCTTGTCATCGTCATCATCGTCTAAACGTATGAATTTGTAATTTTAAACAAAAACTCACTGCTTGAATATGAATTTCTAAACTGTGTTTTAGATTATTTTGTAGAAAAAAATCAACGATTGAAATATATCAGTTTATTTTTTTAAAATTATATTTTCTATTTAAAACCTATTAAAGTTGTTTAATGGAATAGGATAGATTTGTGGTTGGTATTAGGTTTTACAATGATCAGCATTTTGTTCATATATGGGACTGGTAGTGAGTGTTCGATGTCGGGATGTCCAGATGTAGTTAACCGAGGAGTTGCGATTGACTATGATCACCAGTACAGGCTCATTATGTTTCCGTTATTAAGTACAATATCTCTGTGAATCAAAGACAGAGAAAAAGAATTAAATCATACATGCTGGCGATTTCGTGGCATCGAAGGGATACCGAAATCATGCCGGAAAAGAGTGGGAAACTTACAGTGAGCAATATAATCGAAATGGCAGTAACACAAACGGAAAGTTTGCGCGTAAAGAGTAGGAATCAACTGAGTTTACAATTAAACAATCACTGGTAAAATTGGTTGTAATAATGAATGTTGCTATTAAACTAATCACATTCCCTTCATAAAAGTGGGCTCATTACAGACTTGTCAGTTAATGATATTGAAATCGTTTTAATGAAATAGGTATGATTATCTCAAACGGTCATATTTGCATTTAAATGATGTAAAACATTTTACTGACAGTGTAATGAACAAAAGATTTCAAGACCAGATGAACTAGTGAGATAATTTAGAGAAGACATAGTGTGGTGCCCGGTGTCTCACTAGTTTCGTGGCTGTCGGCATTCGATATGTTCTTAGACTTCTTATACTGCTCATCTTGATAACCGTTACTAGATAACGCGCAACAGTGTATATATCAGAACACGGATACGAAACGTTGATCATACTTATATTCGCACCACACACATCACAGAACCACAGGCACACGAAGCGAAAGTGATATGTGAGTGCCGAAGGGCAAGCAAGAGAATGAATAGGATTGAAATGTACATATTCATATACCTAAGAGAATGAATGAGTCATCCATTTATTTATAGAATGAATATGTCTGTAGGTGGTAAGCAATCTTCAGTTCATACCTGCTCATACAAACCGATGGTACAGATAACGTATTGCTATACGAGTGACTCTATCTGTCAAATAAGTTAATAAAAGGGTTTAACCAAATTGAACGTAAACAAACTCAATTACATGTGGAGGTACTACAATAGTTTACTATTAAAATATGTACACTTAATCTCCAAACTTCCATTCTCGGAACAAGCAGATTGTTGACTGTCTCCTTTCACATGTCTTTTAGTCTTCAAAATACTTTAATCGTGCCACGCATTAGGACAGGACACTTCTGTCCCGTAGTAACTGATGTGTGACAGTCCTCTGTATACTACTTACAAACCATGTCACTATCATAATCCATCATAAAAGTATTAAAAAGAATAGTAAATGAAAGATAATTATCGGGAAATTCAAGTATTTAAGTTGGAATCATTTAGAAATTTAGAAAACATGTGAAAACAAATACATAATCAAGAAATCTGGGGAGAAATAGTTTTCGTAGAAACCAAAATAACAATAATAATAAAAATGGTGAGATAAAATAAACTTGAACTACTTTTTTTCATTACGAGGGTGTGAGGATTGTTTAGTTACACATTTGAAATCATGAATCGATCAGAGTTAGACCACCAATAGAAACCTGGAAGCAATGAACGGCTGTTTCGTCCTGGTTTGGGACTCATCAGCAGTGAAAAATGAAAGAGAAGGAGACAAACTAAATAAATGAGATCAACTTACAAACTATGATAGAAAAACTAAGAAGATAACTCGCAAATGGTTATTGTGCTCATAAAATCGATTTTCAAATTAGGAATAAATCCGAAACAACAGCCGAGCTGATGGGAAACGAATTAAATGAAAACTTTCAGTGACATTATATCGAACAAATGAAATAAGTTTAGCAGTTTAACCGAGGACTTGCGTTTCTTCTCATTTAGAACTTGTTAGTTGGAAAGATCGGAACTAATTCAAACTATTAACAATGGGAAAATCCAAACCATTACGAATTAAACTGTAAATTTCAATGTCATTTATACATATCTATGAAATATTTGTAGTGTGCGTACTAATTCACTTGTCTTTTGACCTTGGCAATTAATTGCTTCAGATATTGGTTGTTTTTAATTGAGCGCGTATGTGCATTGCTTGCTTCATTGAACACATGACTTGTTTGTTTTTGTCTGACTACAAATACTTAGTCATGTTTCATCACATTGAGTCGGTTGACTAACCTTTTCCATTTCGATTCGCTTTAAATTCTCATGTTTGTCTTTGTGAACGATTGCCTGAAATAAAATCATCTAACTGAATCCGTACCTGACTTCTTATCAGTGCCGTCACAAAAAAGAACCTCGCCTAAGTATGATATAGGGAAATCGAAGGAAAGATCTACTTCACAGTACATTCTAGTGTTTGTCCAAAATGGAGTCAGATCGTGGGCTACAAAATAGTATTTGTTAATCCTAGAACATAGAAAAGTGAGGCAGTAGTTATTTAGTATTAAATAACTCATAACATTTTAAAAAGTTCATGTTAGTCAAGAGAATTGTGCCAGGGAAAATCAGAGATGAATAGAAAACTATACTTAAATAATAATAAATTATTTTTTACGTAACGAAGATTTCATTGCAATTTCATTACACAATCGTATTCATAGTAACTATCAGCATAACAACAACAACAACTAGAGATTTCAATCAAAATTGGCAATCTCATCAAACTAGGGATAAATGGATAACGTTCTGTTTATTTGATGTCAAGTTTACTGATTCATCTTAGTCATGTTTACTGTAAACAATTCACAAGCTTTACAATTTCGCTCCTAATTTTTTGAAGTTAAATATTAACTACTTACAAGTAGTATACAATTTTAGAAATAAAAAATGAGAGTCAGCCTGGAAGTCTACATTTATAATAAGAAAGGCTTTAGTAATAATTGAGAAAAGTGTCAAAATACCAGAAGCATAATTCTTACTTTTTGTATTAGTAAGCTAGTTAGAATTACGTAAGCTTAAATTATTCTGGAGAAAAAAATTACAGCCAACCAGTAATACTATCATTTGGATACAGAGTTCAAATTTGAGTGAAATAATTTATGGAAGGGCAGGTGAATGTATCTTCTCTTGAGATATTAACACCTTCGAATACTGGCTCAGCGGTGAAGAAGTTAAGCATTCAAGCGTGAGACCGAAGGCCTTGGGTTTCTTTCTCGAATACAGGAGTTGTAGATGTGTAGTGCAGATGAATCCCATACTAGAACGTAACGGTTGTTCTATACGTATGTGTTTCTTTTGGTGGTTTTACAATGATCGATTCATGATTTCAGTTGAACAAAAACCTCTCATATTTCTGTTTGATACACTACCCTCATTTTACTATTTACTTTTTTTATTTAATCTCTTGATTATTATAATATCATTTTTATAATACCTAAAAATCTCTAAACACTTCATGATGAAATCATTTTCTGTTTCATATTAGATTTTAAATATGTGAAATCAATATAAATATTATTGCTTATGGGATAATAAGATGAGTAGTGTAGAAGTTCTTTAATTCAAGGAATTATTATACTTATTTACTTACGCCTGTCACCCCCAATGGAGCATAGACCGCCGACTAGTATTCTTCAACCTACTCTGTGCTGGGACTCCCTTTCCAGTTCTGTACAACTTTTTTTCATTCTTCTCATGTCTGTCTCTATTTCTTGGTACAATGTGTTCTTCAGTCTTTATCTTTCCCTTTGGCATTGGGGATTCTAAGCGATGGCTTGTGTTGTGACGCAGTCGGGTGCTTTACTCAATGTGGGTCCTATCCACTTCCAACGCTTCTCCCTGATTTCTTCCTCAACTGGAATCTGGTTTATTCTATCACACAGTAGGTTGTTAGTGATGGTATCTGGCCAACGGATCCGAAGTAATTTGCGTAGACAACTGTTATTCAAAACTTGTATCTTCTGCATGATGGCTTTGGTAGTTCTCCAAGTTTCCGCCCCATACAGTAGAACGGTCTTGATATTGGTATTGAAAATTATGGAAATATTATAGGAACCATTATTACTTACATACTAACCACATGATTGGTAGAAGTCTTATTTTTATATTCTTCTATTTTTAAGTTTTCATTTATTCTAGAAATCGTTATCTCGGTCTGGTATTCAAGAATCATCATTGCTGAATAATTTCCCCGTAGCTTGTTCTGTTAATCTCAGTCAACAACAACCAATCAAGACCATTCGATTGTCTCTAATGAATAAATATCTGACACTTGACAGTGAAATCATATTTTCTGGTTATGGTATTTTTAGCAATTTAAATTTTTGTGAGATAGGGTCGCCAACATCTTACCCAGCCCTCCTCCTTGGGACTGGCATGAGCCCCAGAGGGGCTCTAGCAAAGGAATAAATCAGGAATAAGCGCTGGAAGTAGATGGGACACTCACTGCATAAGGCACCATACTGCGTCACAAGAAAAGCCCTCATTTGGAACCCTCAAAATAAAAGGAGAAGAAGAAGAAGGCCATAGAATACATTACGCCGAGAAATAGCGAAAGACATGAGAAGATTGAACAAAAATTAAACAGAACTGGAAAGGCAAGCACAGGACAAAGTGGGCTGCAGAATACGAGTTGGCGGCTTATGCTCCGTTTAGGGATTGTTATGCTCGACTCTAGGTATGCTTAAACTATTACGAGTTCACC